CTGTGGGGGATGGGAGTAGCAGGCCATCTCCAGGCATCAATCCCTCACTCATTCACTTAGACTCTGTGCCAGGCGCCTGGGTTCAAATCCTCTCGCAGCTACTTCCCAGCTTTGAACTTCTCTGAAACTCAGTTTCTCACTTGTAAAATGAGGCTCAAGGTACCACAAACCTCAGACAATTGTGGGCATTACATGAGCTAATATGCGAAAAGCGCGCTCGGCATAGTGTTATAAATGTGTTAATTAGTATTCATTAATTCTGGCAGTAAAGAGCCACCATCGAAAACTAGGCTTTGGTGGCTGCCTCTCAGCCCTGTGGGCCTTGGCTGGTGACTTCACCCTCTCCACCGGGTCTGCGCCAGTGAGGACAGCTGCAACACCTTTCCCCCTCCCGCCCCGCCCCCACCCCCTGGGGTGCCAAGGATTAAGTAGGTTCTGGACTGATGCAAGCTCAGCACTATGTCTGGCCTCACTGAACTCAAGCTCTCTCCAGCTATTCTCTGGCTTCCTGGGGACAGGCTAAGCCCGCAGCACCCCCAACAGGGGGAAGGGACAGGAGAAGGACCCCAGGCTCCACAGATGATTCGCACTCAGTGTGGGAGTGGTGTTCCCCCCAGGATGGCCTGAAAAGCCCTTTCTTTTCCTTGGGCCTCTTGGAGCCTTCGACCTCCAGGCCACTCCCTGCCCTGGTCTCTTGAGGGGACCTGAAATAAAATCTGTTCCCTGTTAGCCTAAGGGGTGTGGCCACAGGGGGCCATCCTGGGAGGAGCTGGGGTTGCTGTGGGAGGGGAAGCTACCTAGGTGCTGGGCCTAGGCCTTGAATGGCCCGAAGGGCCAGGCCCCAGGACACCTGGGTGTGGTCTCCACCCTGTCCCTGGAGTCAGTAAGGCCCAGGGAAGCTGCATTCCCCAGAAACTGGACATTCCTTTCTTGGCAGTCACTCAGCAGGACAGGGCAGCGGTGGGAAGGGAGGACGGCCCAGGTGACATTCTGACACCCACATAGTTCCTGATGGTGTCACAGTGGGGGATGCCGTGAGCTCCCGTGCAGCTTTACTCAGCCAGTGAGCGCTGAGTCCCGGGCTCCGCGGTAATGATCTGTCTTCAAGTGTCTCTTGCTACTAAACTGTGTGCTCCCCGAGGGCTGAGCACTGTGCTATTCATCTCTGGCGCCCTGGCCCCTGGCACAGCGCCCGTGGCACACTGATAGGGCTAAGCAGATATGTGTGGAATGAAGAAGCAGGCAGGTATGCAGGGGCATCACCCCAGCCCTCCCAGCAGCCACAGCCCCTGCGGTGGCTGACTCCTGGAACTGCTTCTCTGGCCCAATGCCAGCCCTGGACGTCTCGGTGGCACCTCACCTCCCCACGGCCACCCTCCTCTCCCCAAGGCACCGCTGCTCCTCAGCCCAAAGAATGACACTGCCATTCACCGGAGACACCTTTCAGATCCCACCGACTGCAGAGTCCAGCCCAGTCCACCCCCTAGGTGGTTCTGGAATCACATTCGGGCTGCACCGGCCCAAGTCTGAGCACCACCATGGCTTGACCAACTGATTCCCCAGCCTTCCTCCTCTGGGTCTCCCTGATTCCCCCCTACCTATGTACAACATGCCCCTGCTCTGCACAAGCCCTTCCTCCTGCCTGAGGCCCTCTGGGGGCTCCTACTGGCCTTTTAAGGAGGGGCCTTGAGGACACGGCCCCCACCTGCCTCTCCCCTGGGCCTCCCTCCGGCTCTGGGGTGCCGCCGGGGCTCTCGCTGGCTCCCCAGCATCTGACTTCCCTCTCCCTTCCTAGCCTTATTTCTTTGCTTCATTGTCTGACCTCCTTGCCGAAGGGCCGGAACTGTGTCTATCTTGTTTGTTGCTGAATTCCAGGACAGAGCATACCGTAGGCACCCAATAAATGTCTGCTGAATGCATGAATGATTGGACAGGAGGGCAAAGATCACGTGTCTTAGTCTCCTTAAGGAGAGTGTCAGGCTCTCTCAGACATAGTCAACGCTCTCAATCAATTCCGATCGAATGAGTGACAGGAGGTAGAGTAAAAACAAGTGGGGGCAGTATCTAAGAGAAGGCAAGAGGGGCAGCTGGCACCCCTGATTCACACCGATCTCTTGGGCAGCCCTGCCCTGTTCCCCCAGCCCCACACCCCACCTCTCCATCATTAACTATCTACTAACAGCCCTTCCAACACACCACTTCAGTTTCATGGTGCTTTACATTTTTATAAAATACACACACACACACCTCATTCAAGCCACTCAACCAGCCAGTCGGTCACACTTTGCTCAGACTCTGAGAGGGTCGCAGGGGCAGCGTGGCTGGGCACAGCCACCATGCCAGCCTTTGCCCTTAGCAAGCTGTGGCGTCATTGGCACATTCTTCGCCTTCTCCGAATCAGTTTTCTCATCTGTGAAAGGGGAATTATACCGGGTACCTCTCAGGAGGGTGAGGAAAATTGAATGATGCCACCCGGGGCCAGGCCAGTCTCTGGGAGATGCTTAATAAGCCACAGTTACATTTCTTCCCTGCAGTGACTTCCCCCAAACCTGAGCCGGGAACTCTGCCCTTCTGACTCCAAGGGCAGTATTCTCACCAGTTAGACCAGTCCTACCAGTGCTATGTGGCTGCTGCAACCCCTGTGGGGGCTGCAGGGTTGGAGGGCTGGCTTGAGAGGCCGGCCTCCCCCACAGTTCTCCTGCCTTCCTAAGGGCGGCCAAGAACCCGGGATGCCCGGGGGCGCCCGCAGACCCGAGACGGCATAGGGTGTTGGGGAGGCGAGTGAGGGACACCCCAAGCCTGTCTCTCCCACTCTATTCACCAGGTCCTCGGGGACCCCCCCCCCCATCCGCGCCCAAACGCCCATTCCGGCACGCCCCGCGGGCGCCTCCTGGTGGGAAGCAAAGGCCACCCGGGCGCCTCGCTCTTCCCGGGAACGTCGGGTGACCCCAGGTATGACCACCCCCCCGCCGGAACGGTGCTGGCATTCCAACCCTCGCCCGGCTCCACACAGCCCTCGCAGCTGGGAAACCCGCGACGGCTCGCCCGCACACCCCGCCCCCCCCCCCCCCCCGACGGACCTCTGGGCAGTCGGCGCCCACCCGAGCCGCCCCCGCCGGTCACTGACCCATCTTCTTCAGCGCCCGCAGCCCGGGCCTCTTGGTGTCGCCGTCCGGGGGTGCGAGGAGAAGGGGCGCCGCAACCTGGGCCGCCACCGGGGGCTCCTCGGGCCGCCGGCGGCAGCTCCTCCAGCGGCCGCACAGCATGGCTCGGTGGGGCCGGGGCCGGGCCCGGGGTCTGCGCGCGGGGACAGGGCAGCGGGGGGCGCCGCTCCGGCCCGGCCCCGGCTCTGCGCGCGGTCCCGAGCGGAGAAACTTAGCGGCGCCGGGAGGGAGTCGGGGGGGAGGAGGTGTCGGGAGCAGGGAAAGAGGGAGGGACGAGGTCGCGAGAAGGAGGGACGGGGAGGGAGGGGGCGGAGCCGAGGAAGGCGCGGGGGAGGCGTGGGGCGGTGGCGGGGAGCTGGGTGGCGACCCCAGGCCGGGAGGTGCCCCTTTGCGAGGTGTGGGAAGGGAAGGGGGCCGGCTCGCGTCCCCTCTCCCTGCCCGAGCCCCCGGCTCTTGAGTCCGCCTCCCCATTCTCCTCCCAAATCCTCGGATCCCGGCCGCACAGATGACGGGAGCCCCTGTTGGGGGGAGGGGGCGGCGGAGGAGGCGAAGATTGCCTTCTGGCACACTCTCCTTTCTCTGCACCCTGACTCGATGTGGACTCAGGACCCCTCCCTCTTCACCGTCCCCTTCCCCGTCCCGCAGGAGGCCTCAGAAGGGAGCCAGACTGGGGGCCAAATCTGCGGGGCGGCTCGTCCTGGGCCAAGGGTCCTCGGACCGGCCCGGAAAGCCGAGAGAACCCCAAGAGCTGAGCCAAGCAGGAGGGCAGCCCCAAATGGAGGGGTGGGAGAGCGGGAGGTGGTGGTTGGGGGTAGGAAGGCTCTGGCTGTGATGTCATTGGATTAACCCTCTCGGCATCAGGTGCCAGCCCCTCGGTCTCAAAGCTGACTGGTCTGGGGGAGATGGGGTGGCACTAAGTCATTAGAATCCCCGGCAGAACTCCGGTTCTGGGTTCGAGGTTTGGAAGCATTAGCGTCCCAGTGGGCGTTCGATTGCCCCGGACGGCCGCCGCACCCTGTGTAGATGTCCGTGACATCGACCCGTGGGTGAGCGTCGAGTGTGGGTCCTGGTGACCGTTTCATGTGTTCACTTACTATATGTGAAACCATCAGAATATTTGTACTCGAAGGGTGGGATGGCAGGAGACTAATCATTTTAGCGTTGTCTGCCGCAATTACCCTAAATTGGGTGCGGAGAGCCGGGCGCACACCGCCACTCGGCGGCGGCCAAGAGCGTGGCATCTCAAAGAGAAAGCTTAGTTTCTCAGGACCTAGATTTGCCACCTACTTGCTCTAGCCCATTCTCAGATATCCTTGACCCAGAGATCTGGCATACTGGTTTGGATACCCACCCCTTTCTGGATATTCTTTCTGTACTTTTGATCCTGCAATTCCTTCCTTCAGGAAACACCTTTCTCATTCTTCTCCTGGTTTACAATTACGTGTTCCAAAACCCAGCTCCAATGTCCCTCCTCCAGAACCCCTCCAGAACCCGCTCTTCCTCCAGGACATAACTCCTTTTTTTTTTTTTTTTTTTTTTTATCCCCAGAGCCTGGCGGGGCGGGGAGGGGAGGGCGGATCTAAGGAGCTGAATTGGGTTGCTCAGATTTGCAGGACCTGGGTTCGGAGGACAGACGCAGGTTTCCACCAGGGGGCGCGAGGACTCCGCGCTATTTTACTAGGTCCACCAGGGGGCGCTGCCTCCCGCCTCTGGTCCTCCAAGGTTGGGGAGCAGGCTGGCGGATTCGCCTCTACTGATTGGGAGAGCCACAGCTAAACTATTTGCATAACCTTGAAAGGGCCATGCTGAGTGGTTGAGGTATAGAAGCAGAAGCTGAAACGAGCCCTCTCACTGGCCTAAATTTCCCCCCTGCGTCCACATCCCGGTCAGATTGGGCCCGGAGGTCAGTCGGAAGCCTGCGGCTAGTGGCGAGACTGGGACCTTAGTCCGCGTATTAGGCGCTGCAGGGTGAGTGCCGGATGGCCGGGCGGCTGGGGTGGGGGACCCCAGGGCAGAAGGAGTGGAGGACCAAGGTGGGAGAGTGTTGGCCCCGCCCTGACTCCTCTTGGCTTGCCCATTCTCCGGTCTAGGAGTTGGAAATGTGCGTCTAGAGAGGGACAGCGGCTCTTGGCACCTGCCTCCACCCACCCACCGAGGTCCTATCCGCCCGCCTTGGCCCCCACCTGTGCTGCCCTGGGGTAGGAAAAGGAGTCTCAGCTGCAGCTTCTGACCTCCCGGGGCACCTGACTCGGGTGTAGAGCTTAGTTTTCCCCTCTGGAAAGTGGACCAGTGGCTTACAGAGGTGTGTGCCAGGGTGGACCGTGGAGGTCTGCTCATACGGAAGCTTGTTCTTGTAGAGTCGCTCAAAAGTAGGTCCCCAAGGTTCAGAGGCGCGCGGCATGGGTACCGAGAATGAAAGCCCAGAACAGGACTGCCAGAAACAGTTCCAGGCCGCAGTCAGTGTCATTCAGAACCTGCCTAAGAATGGTGAGGGCGCTGGGACCTGCACTTGGGGGTCAAGAAGATTGGGGTTTGCCTGGGGTTTCCCAGGAGGCTCTGATCCTTGCAGTTTTTGCCGATAAGTCCCTGCCTGGGCTGCCCTGGGGATCTCCTCTGCCTCCTGTCCCAGTCCAGCTGAGTGGGACCCCTCACCATCTCTGTCCATTCCAAGGGTGGGTGGTTCTCCCCCCACTTCCACTCTCTTGGAGCTGGGGGTGATGCTCTGCCTTCCACTTCCCCACCCCCTGCCCAGGCTCTTACCGCCCCTCCTACGAAGAGATGCTGAGATTCTATAGCTACTACAAGCAAGCTACCATGGGGCCCTGCCTCGTCCCCCGGCCTGGGTTCTGGGACCCAATAGGACGATATAAGTGGTGAGCCCCCTACCCACCGGGCAAACAAGCCTCAGCTGTCAACCAGCCTCTCACAGCGCTCTGCCCCCCAGGGATGCTTGGAACAGCCTGGGCAAGATGAGCAGGGAGGAGGCCATGTCTGCCTACATCACTGAGATGAAGCTGGTGGCACAGAAGGTAGGGAGAGGCTGCAGACTTCTTTCTGTCCCCAGGGTCCCAGCTAGGTGGCCTATCTTCTACCCTTCCAGGGCTGACCCCCATTAGGTTTCCTGCACATTGACACCCCTGTGGGAATTACTACCTACATGCCATCTCTCTAACCCTGCTTGTCTCTGGTCCCTGACTGGGCACAGGATGGAGAGGACCCAGTTCAAGTGGGATAGGAGGACAGTGGAAGGAGGGGCAGGCCCCTCTCCAATAGACACCCTGCCCCACAGGTGATCGACACAGTGCCCCTGGGCGAGGTGGCAGAGGACATGTTTGCTTACTTCGAGCCCCTGTACCAGGTGATCCCTGATATGCCGAGGCCCCCGGAAACCTTCCTGAGAAGGGTCACAGGTCAGGCCCCCAGGTTGGGAGCTCCACAAGTGCTGAGTGAACTTTCTTAGGTCCAGGAGGAGGGGGCTGCTCAGGTGGAGGGGGATTTGGGGGTAGAGGGCTCCAGGTGATGTCCCTGTAGACACTCCAACCAGCGCCCCTGATGGAGTGGGTCTCAGGCAGAGCCCATGGCTCATGAGGAGCAGGGGCTGATCTCACTGGGAAGCTCCAGCCTCTTCCCAGCCCCACCTCTGGGTGCCGTGTCTCAGCAGGTTGGAAAGAGCAGGCACTGAATGGAGACGCCAGGGCTGCCCCAGAGCTTCCCTGCCCCCCCAGGGAACCAGCACTCCCAAATCCAGGTCAGTGCCTGGGGGGAGGGACAGACAGCCAAAGCCAGAGGGTGGGTGGGGAGCTTCCAGTGGGGTGGGTAAGGGGAGAAGGCTGGATGGCACACCTCATTCATGCCCACAGACACTGAGACCTCCTGTGCTTGCAAAGGCCAGGGGGCAGGTTCTGAGACTCTGGTTCCAGGACCTCACTTCTGGGACCCATCTATGCCTCCCATGGCAGTATCTCTCGTGTTCCCAGAGCAGGTGCCTTTACTCCTTGAACACCCCCTCGCCTTTTTCCATAGCCCCCGTCTTGTCACCAGTGTCACCTATCCCCTCCCCAGAGTCCCAGCCACCTAGGGACCTGGACTCCGAGGTTTTCTGTGATTCCCTGGAGCAGCTGGAACCTGAGCTGGTGAGACTACCCCTCATTCCCTGCCTTCCCCACCCCACTGTGCCCTGGCTGCCCTACTCCCACCCTTGGATCTTGTGACTCCTCTCAGCAGGTCTGGACAGAGCAGAAGGGAGCCCCTGGAGGAGAGCCTGACACCAGAAACAGCTCCCCGCTCCCCGCAGAGAAAGGTGAGCCCTCGTCTGACCCTTCACCCGCTTCCGCCATTCCCTGTGATTCTGGTGCCCCCAGGCTTTCCCCTGACTGCCCTCTTGGGGCAGAGGTGAAAGTCCAGCACCGGGCACTTGCCAGACAGCCAGACACCAGCCTGGATGGGCAAAGTCCCTGCCCGGCCCCATCTTTGTAGGCCTCCCATTGGGGACTGTCAAAGGACAATGATTTCGGTCCAATCCCCTTCTAGGATTTCCGTACGTGCCGTGTCCCTTAAGGGCACTTTCATAAATATTATCTCCTTTATTCCTCTGAGTAAGCAGCCCTGTGAAGGCAATGACACTTCCCCCTAACTTTCAGGAGACAAAAATGAGGCTCAGAGAAGCTTCTGACTTGGCCAAAGTCACACAGCTGAGTGGCGGTGCTGGGATTCAAAGCCCTGGCAGCCCATTACTCAGCCACATGGATGGATTTTATAGAAATCACAGTTGGTACCAGGGATCGCCCTCTATCTACTATTACTTTTGCCCAGACCTGCCCCAGCCTGCCACCACCCTGTCCCTAGCTGAGTTGCCTCCTGAGTCCCCTTCCCTGTGTGCCTGTGCTCTGCAGAGGGCAGCCCGCTGGGGCCCCAGGAATTGGACACGTGGCTGGTGGGGACAGTTCGGGCGCTGCAGGAGAGCATGCGGGATGTCCAGGGTAGACTGCAGAACCTGGAGAGCCTGCCCAGCGTCGTCGAGCAGGTGAGCTGCCCCCAGGGCCCAGGGCAAGATAGAGACAGAACTCCAAGGCTCTCTGTTCTGGGCTCCTCGTGGAGCCACTTCTGTCTTTCGCCCTAACTCCCCACCTGCCCACACCTCTGCCTTCTTCAGAGTGGTGTGGTTCTCGTTGCAGGCAGGGCAGTCGGGGGGACTGAAGTGCTTCCACCCTGGAAGGGAGAATGGGGGAGGCCCTCCTTTCCTGCTCTTGCCGGAATAGAAACTGAACATGAGCACTAATTCCAACAGTTTGGAAGGCCAGGACGTGCCTGCTCTTTGCACTGGGGCTGGGGGGGGGGGGGCCCTGTTGCCAGATTTAGGGTTTGCTCCCAAATGACTCAGCCCTCGTGCCCCTCCCTCCCTCCCCTCTACTCCTAGATCTGCTTGGCCCTCACACCTCTGCTCCTGAGCTCCTGCAGCATCAGTCGCTGCCACCAGTCTCTGAGCCCCAACTGAGTGCCAGACAAACGCGCACTTCATTCTCTCATTTAATCCGCACAGCCCTAGGAACTAGTTTTGCTTTTCATTTCCCTTTTCCAGAAGAGGAAACCAAGTGTCTGAGAGGCTGGGTAATTCACCTGAGGGCACACAGCCCAGAGGAACCTCACAGAGCTGCTGTGAGGCTTAGATGAGGCAATGTCCACCGCACTTCTCCAATTACTATTATTATTATTCACATCCAGTGACGGAGCTGAGAGCAGCCTCAGGTCTGTCTCCCTCCAAAGCTGGGACTCCCCATTGACGGAGTAGGTCTGTTCTTGAGAAGCCTGGGGTGGTGGGGGCAGGAAACGGCTAAATTGCTGGACATGGGGGATCACCTGGGTGACCCTGAGTCCCCTTGACACAGTGGGTGTCAGCCAGGGTGGCAGGAATTTCCTCAGACCCATCTTTCAACGCCCACCCCCGCAAGGCTTTATTTATTTATTTTACTTCTAACTCATTTTATATGCTGAAGATTGTGATTTCCACCCTGAAATAGCTGGTTTTCCATCTCTAAAAATAAGAACATTCCACTACCTAGCCCGAGAGGACAATATTTTAGCACACACTTCGTATCGTCACATCCCCAATCCAAATCGAAATCTCCCCAGCTGTCCCGAAATTGCCTTTTCCAGCTGCTCTGTCTGTCCAGTCCAGGCACATGTGCTGCGTGTGGCTTCTCCGTCCTTTAAGACTCCTTTAATCTAGACCGGTGCTTTCTCCTTGCTACTGGCTTACTGAGACTGGGCCAGTGGTCCAGGAGAAAGTTCCCTTCAGGTCTCTCTGATTACATCCTCCTGGCTCGTTTACATGACCAGATTATGTCACATGTGATGTTCTGCACATCAGGGGACACATATCTGGATGTCCCACAGTTAATGATTCTAGCACAGACCACTGGCGTGGATGAAGGAGGAGTGCCGGTCTGATCTCACTACTGTTAAGTCGTGTTTTCCTCTTGCCAGCCAGGGCATGTCCTGCTCCCCGTGACCCCATTTGCCACGTGATTTTTGACAATTAATGGATAAGCCCTGCCTGGATCAATAATTTATTTGGAAAAAAGAAACATTGACTTTTAAATTCTCTTATTCTTTTAACATTTATTAGGGTGACACTTTACTGTAGAGTTTCATCTAGGATTTCCCTGAAGTACAGCGCCTTATGGAAAGGCAGAATGAGTGCTTAATTCATTCTGTTTAATTACCTATCTTAAAGTAAGGAGTTGATTGAACAGCCACCTCAACAGTGACAAATTTCCAACTTTCTCTTTGAGTATCATTATGGACTAATGGATTTTAAAGATTCAGTCTCTCAATCAACTGAAATTATTCTTTGTGATGCTTAGACTGGCACAATTTTGGTCAATGGAGACCCTTTCAAGCGGGGTCCTATGTTCTTATAACATGACCTCATTAATCTTTAAAAGTTTCCTTGTTTTCTGGTACAAAATGTCCCACATTCACCTCTGCCTTCCCTGCTCAGGACCTGGAATTCGCCACTTCTCCAAGGAGCCCTGGCTCCTTTTAGCAGAGAATGAGATTTAGAAGCTAAACTCTGAGCACCATTTGAAATATATGGCACATCCTTTATAATATTGGGTGTTCAGGCCACACCAACGGGGCCACTGCTTTGTGGCCCAGTAGAAACAGCCTAGAAGCCATTCTCTCCACTGCGCAGCCCCTACAGGCCCCTTGGCACCTGGGATTGCCCTCAGAGGAGGATGCGGTAGGGCACTGGAGGTCAGCTGTCAGGGACACACTGGGAACCCCAGGAGCCTTTCCTTTCTAGTGGTGCAGATTCAGGGGTAGGGCCTTCCCTATCTCAGTTCTTGTGATCTTAGGGAGGCACAACTCCCACTTAGCTCGGGAAGCAGGTTCCTAAGGAATTGCCCGGTCTGTGCCGAAGCCTGGGCCGGCCCCTGACTCCCTCCCTCTCGGCAGCAGAGGACCCCGCCCGGTGCCCGGCCATGGCCCCTCAGGCTCTCGGGTCCCACGCTGCTCTTCTTCCTCCTGTGGCCCTTCATCGTCCAATGGCTCTTCCGACAGTTTCGGACCCAGAAGAGGTGACTCTCAGTGGAGGGGTCTCTGTAGCCAACTGAGGTGGCTATGAGCCCCCTGTCCTGCTGTGCCCTGAGCCTTCCTAGGGTTTAGGAGAACAGCATTAACTCTGTGTTCCCACCATTCAGTGTTTGCCTCTGCACCGCTCCCTTATCGGGGGGCCATTTAAGAGCCCATCCTTCCCCGCGGCTTCACATGGACACCTTCTCCTCTCCCGCCCAAACACCCAGGCTCCCTGGTGAGGGTGCAGTGGTGGTGCACGTCCCGGGTTCTGAGTTGGCCGTGACTCGGGGGCGGGGCTGCCGGGTCTCAGCCTCCGCCCTCCCCACCCTCTGGGTCACCTGACTCTTCTCCCACCCCAGTCTCTCCCCTTGGAGGCCCAGCTCTTGGGCAAGTTGGGACTTGGGCCGGGGCCTGGAAGAATGATTGGCTGAGAGGCTGCGGGAGGAAGGCCAGGAGGCCCGGCCGAGTTGGGGGCAGGGGAGTGAGCTCCGTTTTGCTGGTCTCCCTCCCCCTGCACTTACACACTCAGGACGTCTTCACGGAAGACTCACAAATGTTTCACTAAATAAAATAAGACCTTGATCTTCTGCCTTCTGGGTCCCCACGGAGTGAGGCGGGAAGCCGGGTCCGGGCGCGCAAGGCACAAGTCTTCCCTGCCCCACCCCCAGTACCCCCGAGGACGGTCCCGAGAGGCCGGTGGCTTTCCCTCCTCCCGGGGCAGGAGAGGGGAGCACTGGGGCCCTGGGCCCGAAGGGGGCGGGGCGGCCGAGGGAGGGGAGCGGCGCCTACCGCCGCCACAGCCGGGGGGTGGGGCCATGTCGCGACCTTCCCCCCCCCTCCCGCCCCGTCGGAGGGGGGCGTCTGGCGAGCTGGGGGGTGGTGGGTGGAGAGGAAGCCGGCTCCGGGACCGGAGGGCGGCTGCTCGCTGCCCTGTGAGCGGGCCGCAGGGAAGGGGCTTCGGGTCCCCGGCCCCGGAAGTGCCCACCGCCCGCTTCCCCCTCCTTAGCTGCTCGTTCCCGGTGTCCCCGCCCGTGACCTCCGCGCTCGGGCTTTCCCAGGGAACTTTCTGGAAGGCCAAGACCCAGCGGGAGCCTAGTCCCCGCCCCACCCTGAGGAGTGGGGGCGGGGCCGCTCGTTGGGAGCCCCCGTCGGGGTGGGCAGAGCGCCCGCGTGGGCACAGAGCTCCGGGTGACGCCCGCTGCTCGGGCCCCGAACTTATTTTTCTCATCGCCGGGCGGCCTTGGCCTCCTTCTGGTCTCCGACAGCCCTGTCGCCCCCGCCCCCACCCCGTGGGGCCGCCCTGGCTCTAGCAGTGGCCTGTATTCGGTGGCGAATCCGCCACCCCGAGCGCCTCCTAGTGTTGGCCCCTGACAGGCCACTGGCCAGGGTCCCCATCTGCAGAGGGCCACAGTTGCCACCGCCTGGGCCCCAGGACCTTCCTACCCTGGGTGAGGAAGAGGTAGTTCTGAAGTCTCCTTCTTGGAGACCCTTAAATTCCTAGGTTCCCTCTATCAGCCCCTGGCCTTGACCACTGCCCAAGGTTGGGTATCATTCGACCCACTGGTAGCCTCAGTCACTCTTTGACTGTCAGTCTTTCTTCCAAGGTGGGGAGGGTGTCCCTCAAAACAGACACACGGGCCCTGCTGCTCTGCGGTCCAGTCCAGTTTCGCAAGCAGAGGTTGAATAAACCCTTGTGTGAAGGATGGACAACAGCAGGGTAGCGGGAGAAGGAGCAAAGTGGTGCTGGGGATGCAGGCACGGGCACACAACTAGCTGTGTGACTTGGGCAAGATTCTTAACTGCTCTGAACCTGGGCTGCCTTCTTTGTAAAATAAGGATGAAGATCTCTTCATCATAAGGCAGTCCTAGAGTTTAAATGACCAAGACATGTAAAGTGGTTGGCGATGGGTTAAAACTCCGTTAACATCAATGTGCCTGGCCTCTTGTTTGACAGAATTCTAGAATCCCACAACCTATCCATCTGCCCACCCCTCCCCACATATGACAAATGAGCCCTGCCCAGTAAACTGAGGCTGGCTGGGCTCAGCTATACCTTTCAATCCCCCTGAATGAGAGTACCCAGGAGTCCTCTGGAGTCTGAAATTTTAACAATACAAAGGTCTCTGACTCCCATTCAAGTTCTCTGCAAAACCCCTTTTCTCAGGGAGCTCTCAGTGTGGGGGGCAGCTCTTGCTTACAGGGAGCCCTGCAGGCCTGATTAAGGAGCACAAAGAAGGCCCTGCTTTTCAGATGCACCTGAATTCTTGGAAGCTCAGGGGCTTGTGTGGGCAATTTCAAAACATTTGGTTGTGCCCCAGAGGCAGTCTTGCTTGCCTGTCCCTTGGGGCATACCCATCACCACCTCCCCACGGAACCACTGAGTTCCCAGACAAGTCCTTTCTTCGGACGCGATGCTTGCTCTTTATAAAATGTTCTTCTTCACGCTACTAGGCCCAAAAACGCTTCATCGTTCAGAGAAAGCCAAGAAGACACCTCCCCCACGCATCTTGTCCATAATTCCCAACTCCTGAGCAGCTTGGCTCAAAAGATCCTACCAGGATTTTCTTCACTTGCCATTTTGGCTCACTGTAGTTTAATGGTTTCTCTACACTGTCCATGAGCAGCAGAGATGACATTTCATTCATCATAGTTTCTCCTAACAAGTGTTTGCTAAATGAAGAAATGAGGGCCTTAGACTGAAGCTGTTGGAAATGGAAATGGAAAATGGGGGTCACAGAGACCTTCGTTCTAGCAAGAAGTGCCCCTTAGTTGTCATGTAACCTTGGACAAGTCACTTCATTTCTCTGAGTCGTAGAGACTTCTTACCTCTAAAACGGAGACAGTCATCCCTACCCTAACTCATTGGTCTGTGGTGGGGTCAAGTGGTTCTGTGTGCAAAAACAATGTTATATGTCGAACGAAAGACACTGCTATTAAGGAAGAAATAATAAGAATAGGTCACTGGGTGTGTGTCAAGAGGGAGATGCTGTGATTACGCTGACATTTTAGGCCTAAACGATAAACGATTAGAGTGGCGAGTTTGGGCTACTCCAGGGCCCTGTCCTCTGGGCCGGAGCCTGGAATCTGGAGAATTTTCTCGAGACTGTGTCACCCTCCCTCCCCCATGAATCTACCCCAGTCCTGGGCCAGAATCCCCCTGTCCCCATTTCCGGGCAAGACCTCCTCCTTGGGGAAGACTCCGGCTCTGTTTCCTCCCAGTGCTGCCCAGCGCCCACTGATAAGGAAGGGCCTCTGTGGATGGTACCTCTTCTCTCTCGGGTAGCCAGGGTTGATTATTTAAACTCAGGATTAATTTTGAGCTCTATCCCTCCCCCGCAATCGAGGTCCACCAACTGGCCCGATTGCCTTGTCAGGCCTCAGGATATGTTCCCGGTCGGCTCGGAAGTGAAGAGATCAAGTCGGCCCCAGGAGGCCATTTTTGTTTGACAGAAGCCAAGGCTGAGGCCCGGGGGGCTAGGCCTTCCCGCCCCGGGATCTCCCCGGAGCCTTGGATGCACTCCCCGCGCTTCCCGGATCCCCGCCCAGAAGAGAGGCTCGGTCACGGCCCACCATTTTGCATTGGTCCTTGACGGCGGGGGCCCCGAAAGACCAGACCTGGACTGGGACTCGGCCACTTTCGCTAAGCGGCCCAAAACCAGTCCCAGGGTGGAAGTCACCCGGGACTCGAACCTGCCTTCTCATCCTCCGAGGCCTAGTCCGAGGTTGCTGCACTAATGCAGTCACGCTGTCCCTTTAAGACGGCACTTTTTATTCTTCATTTGTTTACTTCTTCATACGCTTTTCGTTTTTTTTACAATGTGTTCACAGTATCCTTCCGCAAATGTCAGTCCCAGGACTAACCACACGCACCTTGAAGCCATTCCTGTAATCTTAAGAATCAAGAGTTATTAGTTGTAGGCCAATATCTCTCTTTATAGAATTTAATCCTCTTTTACACGTTAGGGACTACTTTTTAGGAATATACCATTTTTGCTTTAACTAACAAATGTTTATGACCTTCAGAACCCTTCCGCTGAGGACAGAATATGATAATAGCCTCTAAAACTCACCTTTTCATAAAAATATTCTGTGTAGGCCTTCAGAGGCTATCGAATCTTCTCGTATTGCTGAAGCAGAATGGTATGGTCCAAAGCCCGCCCCATCTTCTCTGTGATTGGCTTTCCTTCTTTGGCGAGACTTGTGACTCCTGACCAATGGTCACTCACGTTTCTCTAGCGAGGGATGTGCGATAGAAGGAGGCGGCCTGGAAATCGCCCCCTACGCGTTCTGGGATTGGCTACGTCGCACGGCGCGCGAGGACGGCGGGCCTGAAGGATGAGAACTACGACTCCCAGCTTCCTGAGATGGGGACTCCGTTACGCATGCGCATGGGAGGGGCGGCCAGGCTTCTATATAAAAGGGGCGCAGAGGGCTGGGAGGCAGCAGTTGGAAGTTGGCAGGTGGAGAGGCAGGTTGGGAGGGGGAGTCGGGGGAGGAGGCGGAAGAGTTGCTGTCGGAAGGGGGAGGAGGGAGGGAGGAAAAGAGGAGGAGGCGGTGGAGATCTGAGCTGAACCGAGCATCGAGCCAAAGGGGAGATGAGTTTGTCTGTCCTCGGCTGAGGCTCCGGCCGGGCCTAGGGAACTGGGAGCTCGGGTTGGAGCGACACCCGTGGAAGTGGGAGGAGGTGGCTCTGGGACTTTAACCCCTTGTGGGCTCTGCGGCAGGGGATTTAACCCTTTGTGGATTCGGCCCCTCGGAGGCAGCGTCATCGGGTAGTTTTAACCCCTTCGGGGCTGGGTTTAACCCGTTGGACTTAACCTCATCTCCTTGGCCACCAACTCCTCGATCGTGGGGGCGCTCTGCGGGGAGGTTTGAGGTCCACCCCCTTTGCACATTACGTACTGTTACTGCTGCTGCACCCCCCCCCGGACCCGCTTAGCTGGCCGCGTTGTGGGCACTTAACCCTTTATTGACTTGAGCTCTCCCAAGTTGCAATTGGAGTTTGTTGACAGAAGGACTGGCTAAAGGCGTCACTGCAGGAATTACAGACCGAAGAGGACTCTGCTGGACGTTTTTTAAAAGAAAAGAAAAGCCTCTTTTTTCCTTAAGGACTTACAGCCAAAATTTTTCAAACTTCGAGAAGAGGACTCTATTAGCCATGGCCGAGCCACTCTTGTCAGAATACCAGCACCAGCCTCAAACTAGCAACTGTACAGGTGCTGTTGCTGTTCTTGAAGAGCGGAACCCCGATCGCCCCCCAGGCGCGGAGGAGCGGGTGCCCGAGGAGGACAGTAGGTGGCAATCGAGAGCGTCCCCCCAGTCGGGTGGCCGTCCGGGGCAGGAGGGGGAAGGGAGCTTGGAGCCCCAGCCGCCTCCCCTGCAGACCCCGGTCCGTCCAGAAGCTAACTGCCCGGAGGCAAGCGAGAAGGGCCAGAATAGGGATGATTTGTCCGCTGGCGGAGCCCCCCTGCCGGCAGCCGGGGGAGAACCGAGGCCCGAGGCCGAGCCGCTCGCACAGCCATGTCACGACTCCGAGGCCAACAAGTTGGGGGCTCCTGCTGCAGGGTGCGAGGAGGCGTGGGGACAGCAGCAGAGGCAACTGGGCAAGAAAAAACATAGGAGACGCCCCTCCAAGAAGAAGCGGCATTGGAAACCGTACTACAAGCTGACCTGGGAGGAGAAGAAAAAGTTCGACGAGAAACAGAGCCTGCGAGCCTCAAGGATTCGAGCTGAGATGTTCGCCAAGGGCCAGCCTGTCGCACCCTATAACACCACGCAGTTTCTCATGGATGATCACGACCAGGAGGAGCCGGATCTCAAAACCGGTCTCTATCCCAAGCGGGCCGCTGCCAAATCCGACGACACCAGCGATGAGGACTTCATGGAAGAAGCGGGCGAGGAGGATGGGGGAAGCGACGGGATGGGAGGAGATGGCAGCGAGTTTCTGCAGCGGGACTTCTCGGAGACGTACGAGCGGTACCACGCGGAGAGTCTGCAGAACATGAGCAAGCAGGAGCTCATCAAGGAGTACCTGGAGCTGGAGAAGTGCCTCTCGCGCATGGAGGACGAGAATAACCGGCTGCGGCTGGAAAGCAAGCGGCTGGGAGGCGACGACGCGCGTGTGCGGGAGTTGGAGCTGGAGCTGGACCGGCTGCGTGCCGAGAACCTCCAGCTGCTGTCGGAGAACGAACTGCACCGGCAGCAGGAGCGAGCGCCTCTGTCCAAGTTTGGAGACTAGACTGAAACTTTTGGGGGGGAGGGGGCAAAGGGGACTTTTTACAGTGATGGAATGTAACATTATACACATGTGTATATACGACAGCGGACCTTTTTATGACACATAATCAGAAGAGAAAATCCCCCCGGCTTTGGTTGGTTTGGTAAATTTAGCTATGATGTAGCTTGAGTGCTTTTTTCCTGTTCTTTAATTATGTGAAACTGAAGGGTTGCTTTTCTTGTTTCCTTTTTAGTTAGTTTTTTTTTTTTTTAATGTGTAAGTAACTTGACCAAGTTATGATGCATTTTTCTGTTAAAAATCCCCTCCTTAAACGGAGCTATAAGGTGGCCAAATCTGAGAACCATTAAATTCATTCTAGTTATAATAAATTTAATATTTGTAAATGTAACAGTTTCAGTGTGATTTCTAGAGCTAATTCAAATAGTGCTGGCTTATTTTAAGGGCATTGTGTGTGGGGGGTAAAGAAATCATTAGTCAGTTTGCAGAAAAAAAATCTTTAATGGGACAGTTTTCAATTTGCTGATTTTTCCCTTGAATGGGTTTTAGTGTGCTACAAAATACAGTTCAGGCAAAATATAAAGATTTAATTACCTTCAATACTTAAGTGTGCTTGCTTAGTGCCTTGGTTTTAATTTTTTGATGCTGGAGAAATAATCCAGTGGTGGGTGCTTGGGGAGCAGAAAGTGGCTACAGTCAGAAGCTTAGAATTTAATTCTGCTTCTCAACAGCCAACCTAATTTGGTAGTTTGTTAGGTTAGACAAAGGACAGTCTCATTTCATTCCTACAAATAGGTTTTTAGTAATCCCTTCACCTCCCCAATACGGCTTGAAGAAGCTCCTGCATGTCTTAAAGAGGCTCTTGGTAAACCCCTTGCTTTTTTAGTGCAAGCAATGGTTGAATAAACTTGTGTGGCAGCTCTTTGTTAAGATGTTTAGAGGTAGGGAATATTGGACTTATAGAGGAAATGGCTGTTTGGGGCATTCCAAGGACTTACCCTAATTATCTAATACTTAGGTGCTCCCTATACTAAAAAAAGGAACAGGAGCTGTCCACCTTTTCATGAGGGTCAAGCCAAAATTAGAAATGCCCCCTCACTGCAAATGAAATGTAAAGCTTCTGGTTGGGGAGCTAAATTAAGTCCTTATGGGCCGAGTGGGAACCCTGCACATTCCTTGTGCAGTCGCTATCCTCAATCTCCTAATAGCTGCTTAGGTTCTGGAGTAGTTCTGTTCTTGAAAATGCAAGGAGGCCCTCAGAATTAATTTCTGCCCCCAAATCAAAATAGTAAGAAATGATGATTGCTGGCAATCTCTCTTTTGCTATCCTGGCCACCATTCCCTTGCAGTGTATTCAGTAAACTTCCAGCTCCTTAAAAACAACAAAAAAGAAATTATGATTGTTCCTTCCTGTCATCATGGTTAATCCAGCCCATCTCCACCTGGCTGTGTCAGTGTTTTCCTACAGCAGATGCATTGCTCAAATCATTAGCACAGGGGTTCCTTAACGTGGGGCCTTAGAAACCATAGGGGGTCTTGGGATACATGAATCCCATGAGTTTCTATGAAGACTTGTGTCATATGTACATTATTCTGGGGAGACAGTCAAGAGAATCAGGAGATTGTTAAACTTCTTGAAGGTTAAGAACCTCTATAGGGAAAAGGGGACCCCCCCCCCCCCGCCAAACTCCCACTGGAAAGCTTGCTTTTGTAGCTAAATAGAATGGTGGAGGTGGTAGGAACTTCTAAGAGTGAAACGCACCTTATGATGCATGAGCATTCACAAATCAGTGAATCAAGGGAAATTAATGCTGGTCAAGAACTGACTCAGGGCCTTCAAAGCTGGACTAAGCTGGCCCTATTCTGGCAGATGGTCCACTGAAGACAATGTATGATCAGTTTTTCCTTTGGCCTAAAATTACATTAAATGTCTATTTTGAAATAGTTTTCTTCGTGTTTTTAATTTTCCTTCTGCTATGACGTCATGCAGTAGTCCCAGAAACCTGGCTGGCTGCTTGGTGGAAAGGCAGCAACACTGCCCTCTGGCTTTATAGTGCAGAGAAGCCTCATTTTGACTGCACTGTAGGATGCAGCAGTGATAACCTCCGATTATAGAACTTGTTATGAAGATGAATGGATTTAAGTTTAATGATCTTGTTTCCCCTACTATTTGTCTTGGAAAGACTCTGTAAATACATTTACCGTCAGAAAAACAACAACTATGTTTTACTCTTAGGAGACAAATTAAGTCCAGTCTTTAAAAATACACAGTTTTAAGTAACTCACAAATTACTTTCATTTACCTGGAGATATGCCACTTTCCAAATTTTGCTTCCAAGGCACTTTATAAAATGTATTACATTATGTTCTTAGAGTGATGAGGTTTGCGGGAAATTTCAGTTTTCTATCAACACTTTCTACACTGAAACACTTGACTAGCATACTGCTCTCAGGATAGAGAAAAGACTCTGAATTACTTATTATAAAAGGGGGCTGTGCTGACAAATGGTCCTCAAGTCATTTGAGGATCTCTAGCCTTTCACTAAAGTCCTCTCTTCCAAACATTTTAACTGAGCTGCTTAAAAGACCAGGCTTACACACTGGCAATTTCAGTTTGTTCCCTTTCTCATAGGGGGCCTGGGTATCCAGCCAGGACAAAGTGCTTCCCCAACTTTGAGAGAGCTGGCTGGAAAGCTTAATCCTCCTCTAAGGAAAACTTTTGGGGGGTTAGCCTATAATACAAAGTGGCCTTCAGGAGACAGGGCCCTTTAGATATCATTTTTTTGGGGAGAGAAAACCAGGGAGGTTCAGATTGGTTTAATTCAGAAAAATATACCAGGTATCTCTAAAGAAAGAAAACATAAAAATTACACTAGCTTAAAAGGAGTAAAAAAACCAGGGTCCTAGTCATATCTTTAACATATACTGGTAGTGCAACCCTCGACAAAACTCTCTTAAACTCCGAGTCTCATTCTTCATCAGCAAAATGGGCCTGTGCCTACTTTACAAAACTGCTATCAGGATTAAAGGATGAAAACATGTTATACTAAAGTAAGCTAACATTGATATTATTTCTTTTCTTTCTTTCTTTCCTTTTTTTTTTCCAGTAATCTCTATGCCCAGTGTGGGGCTCGAACCCACAACCCCGAGATCAAGAGTCACATGCTCCACTGACTGAGCCAGCCCCTTGTTTCTTTTTAAGACCAGAGCAATTGCCCATTTGATCAGTATTTTAATTTTCACTTCATCTAGAGTAAAATTAAAATCCTTTGGGAAAATGTAAATAAATATGACCCTAATCACTTCAAAAGTTAGAGGGGAAAAAAAATCAAAGAGGGAATCCACAGAAATTAAAAAAACCAAAAACCAAAAAACAACAACAAAAAATCCCACAACCACAAGCAAATAGTTTACCTTCAGAAAATCAAGAGCTGGCTATATTTAATCAAACATTAGGTAATGCACCACAGAATTCTCCCTGGCCACTTACACCCAGAACAGCTGGCAACAAATATTCACAACATTGTGATAGCAAAGTTAGCTAGAGCTGAGATAGTACTTGTATTAAGTACACTTGAGTTTGTGAGGTTTGTTTTTTAAATTATTTTTTCAAATTTGATAACATTGGAATAAAATACCACTTTACTATTCTTGCTCACACAAAGTATAAATGGTTGATGCTAGAAATGAAAAATAATTTTTAAAAGAAAGAAGATGTCAAATTCAGGCCCTGAACAGTCGGGTGGGCTGACCAAAAGGTAATCGTCATACTTTGCAAATGGGACAGAATATACAGTCTAGGTGGCAAAGGTTCCATTTGAGCCAATGGTCTTTGAATACTGGAAAGTTTACAACCTCATTCCACTTCTTGTTGAAAAAAACAAAGGCTGAGTTTAAACAGATCAATAATTGAGCCCTCACAATTCCTCCTGAATAAACTTTTTCTTGGGTTTTACTCAGAGGTGGTTCAATTATGACAAATGATGTTAACAAGGTCAAGGGCAGAGAATAATCCTAGTAGTTTATTAATAAACCTTTGCACACCAACAAAATTCTTTCAAATGAGTGAGCTGCTGTAGGCAACTGTTGGTAAGTTTTTTGAAAAAGTGCTCTCTCTCAACGTAGCACCAAGAGCAGTTATATTTAGCTTAAAAGTTTTTTCTTTAAAAAAAAAATTTTTTTTTAATGTTTATTTATTTCTGAGGCAGAGAGAGACAGAGCATGAGTGGGGGAGGGTCAGAGAGAGAGGGAGACACAGAATCAGAAGCAGGCTCCAGGCTCTGAGCTGGCAGCACAGAGCCCGATGCAGGGCTTGAACTCACAAACCGTGAGATCATGACCTGAGCCGAAGTTGGTCGCTCAACCGACTGAGCCACCCAGGCGCCCCTAAAAGTTTTTTCAAGAAGAGCAAAAATTCGGAAGGAAACTGAACTCTCATCCTTCATATTCTATTTGACACATCCACAGACTTCGTGTGAAGTGTTAAAAAGCCCTGGGTTTGCAGTGAGCAAAAAGGATATTCCTGAAGGAAAATGTGGGAACTTGAGTGCCCCAAGCAGAAGCATCTGAAAAAATGACAGCATCACTGCTCTTGTGAGCTCTCAGAAGAACTTGTGCTAGCCTCCAGAGGGTCAGAAAAGGAGGTTAATTTGAAGTCTGAAGCCTGATTCAACACAGAAGTTCGCATACCTGGATAACTCCAGTACAACTGTTAGGCAAAGGCAGGAGACCAAACTAGAGGATGGAAAGGAATGTCTAAGAGGTTACCTCTCTAGTTATTTCTAAAAGTGTACTTAACAAAACAACAAACATTTGAGCAATTTAAGAAGAGAAAATTCAAAGAGAAAGAGGGTGAGAGCGAAACACAATAAAAAATTGATTATGATTGTGGAAATCCAATCACTCAGAAGCAAGCAGCTTCATGCCAAAGGGGACCTGCTCCAAGAGTCAATCCTACTCATCCATGGATCCTGCTCACAGAGCCACCAGGCCCCAGGAGCTGGCCATCAGGGTAAAATATCCAGGTCTTCCTAGTAACAACTGCTTGGTACCCTGAGAAACTGACCCTCATTCAGCCTAGCTGGATGGCCACCCTTTGTGCTGCCAAGGGCAACCAGGGCCACATTTCTTTAAGGCAGGCCTCCCAAATACCCCAGATAACTTCTGAAGCAGAAATTCTAGATTCCCAAATAATGAAGTTTTAGTAAGTAAATGTTTACATAGCTACTGAAGAGTAGTTACTCAAGGTATTTATGAGGGAGGCAGCACAGATAATATTTTCAAATCAGGAAACTGAAGCATATAGGGTTTGTAGCCTTTGTCATAAACCCCAAAACAACTCATCTGAAAGGGGAGAGCTGAGAAGGAAGTTGAAGGTCTGGTTGAACATTAGATGAACAATGGACTCAGCAACAAAATGACCAGTTTGGCCTCATCTTCAGGATTTGGCCTCCGGCCAAGCCAATCAAGTCAGTGGTAGCACACACAGAAATAGAACTTGGAGTTCTTAACTTCCAGTCCTGTGTTTTGCTCAAAAGATAACCAAGAGAGCATTATTAAACTGGGTTTATTCCCAACTTTTCTTATCAAGGAATGGAAAAGC